GCCGTGAAATAACAAATGAAGCACTTAAGTTCGATGTCCCTGGCATGCAGGGGAGGAACAGCCCATGTGTGTGAACTGGGGCAGTCAGTGATGGAGCCTATTAAGATGTTTTAGCATCAGACATCCTTCTGGCTCTTGGTGTAGCAGTGGTTCATCCTGGCAGGTGCCTCTGTGTGTGTGTGCAGGGGTGGTATTTATCTAGAAGGCAGCTCTTTATCAAAGGAGCGTGCAGGGCCCTCTGGGCTTCTAATTACACCTTTGATTTGGAAGCAACCAAAAGGAGAGCAACAAAAGCAAAAAGTGCTTTACTCCTGTTCTTGAGAAACTGTAAGGCAAGAATATGAGCCCTGTTATGTTAAACCTTGAGTGTAAATGAAGCACAGTGTAAGTAAACACATCTGTGTTCAGGCAGGGGAAAAAAAAAATCTTATGAATAATTCATGGAAAAATTCCTTCTGTTCAGCTGATGGAGAGCTATTGCTTATTTCTGTTGAACTGTTGCTTTAACAAGTGGAATGCTGCTGCAGGGAGAGCCATCGTCACACGAAGTGGTGGCATTGTCATCTCTGCTGTGCTGTCATCACCACTGCGGGTATTCCTTCGGTGTGGAGTCAGGAGTGGCTGTGATGGAGTGACCTGCTGGGACGGAGTCTGTCCTTGCCATTGCCTCCCTGTGATGGAGTGGCTCGCTCATGGTGCTTTTGTGAGCACCGTTCCCACTGCTTTTCTTTGCACAGATTGCTGGTGCCTGCCGGGTGCCCGTGCTCCCTATTTCCATGGGACGTTGGTGGAGGGAGCAGCCCCAGGATGTTATCTGCACCACACAGGGGCTGAGCTGCTGGTAGGGTGGGGATGGGCTTGGATGGATCCCTCCCTCCCTCTGCCAGGTCGGGCAGATACGGCTCTTTTGGCTAAGGAGGGTTATGGAGTGACTGCTGCCTGCCAGGCTGAGCCCCTCTGTCATCCAGGAGGGTTTGGAGGCTGGTTTCTGCAGAAGCAGCCCTGTCAGACCCTGTATGTTTGAGACCAAACCATGTTGTTTCTGCCCTGGGCTCTGCTGCAGAGGGGAAGGGAGCCCCAAGAGTTACTGCTTGCTACTGAATAGGAAACAGCACTTGTATTAACATGATGCTTTTCTTAGTCTTCTTAGCCAACATTTTTCTGACAGTCTGGTGCACGTGCCTTCTCCGTGTCTCTGTTCTGGGTCCAGCTGCTCCAAGTTCAAGTGAGTTTTCCAGACAGGTCCCACACGGGAAGCCTTTCCAAACCCATTGCTGTAGACAAGGCCCCAGTGACAAGTACATGTTTTCATTTAAATTTCAGCAATTCACCAATGAGCAAAGCCCATGATTTTCCATGCAAGGAATTCTGTAGCATCCAGGAGGATTTTTGAGGATACGGAGGAGGAGCTCTCAGCTCCCTTTGGTTGTAATGCACTTACTGCTCCATTTAGTCAGGTCATTTTATAAGCCCAGTCTTCAATTTGACATAAATGATTCGCTTTCAGCAGATGGTGAGCTACTATTTTTGCCCTCATTTAAATAGGATAGCTGTACGATAGCAGGAGATGGGAGAGGGGCACGGTGCTGCTGACATGCAGTAGATTACCAGGGCTGGTCTGGTGAGAATTAAATCCGGGCAGTTGTAATGTGCCATCTGTGTTGTGTTGGGTGGTTTATTTTTCCTCTGTTCAATGAGGCTCCTGAAGTCTCCTGGTACCCTCCAGGTCAGGCTGAGTGACAGCATCCTTTTTTTTCAGGATCCAAACGATCCTGTTTCTGTACGAACACAGAAAGATGAGGCATATTAATTCTAAGAGGGGTTATAAAATGTCAGCACTAATTACTCCTCTAATAAAATGTATTAAGTAAATTCTGAATGGTTCCAAATCTTTAGGGTATTTTAAAGTTTGAATTTCTGTTGAGTGGCTTATTTAATTGCATTTGAATTTCTTACTTTGTTTTAAACCTCCAAGTAAACAGCTCTCTGCTATGGTCATAGAATCCCAGACTGGTTTGGACTGGCAGAGACCTTACAGTCTGTCACATTCCACCTCCTTGCCATGGCCAGGGACACCTTCTGCTAAACGAGGTTGCTTCAAAGCTCTGTCCAGTGTTTTCTTTACTGTAGTAAAAATCACATGTAGGACACGTAGCACACACGTGGAGCGAGTCATGCCGGTGGCAGCTGCAGTTTCCTCCTCTCCCACCTACAGGTTTGTTGCACGTGCACCAGGTCTTGACGAAAATGAATTTTCAGGCTGTGCTCTCTATTTCAAGCAGTGTTTTGTGTAGTTTCCCTGGTGAATTATGTGCTTTTCACACATATTATGAAATGGGAAGAAATGCATTCTAAAAAAACCCACCACACTGTTGCTGAAACTATTTGATTTTTGCCTATTTTTAGCAGAAATTCTGTCTTATCTTTGTCTCCAGCTCTTGCTGGAGCAGCAGTGTTCAGTGAAGCCACACATTTTTGCGTAGGAAGGTCAAGACAGTTTGTCCTGCCCGTTATCTGGTGTTGGGCATCTCTGCGAGACAGTTTGTGTTTCCAAGAACTGAACCTTGCCCATGGACAGTCCTTTTTCTTACCTCTCTGAAAGACTAAGCCACTGGGAATTAAGTAAGTTATGACGTAAGCCATAAATCATTTTTCCAGGCTTGGAAACAGGGATAAGTTTGATTTTTCACAGAATCACAGACTGGTTTGAGTTGGAAGGAGCCTTAAAGCCCATGTCATCTCACCCCCTGCCATGAGCAGGGACACTTCCCACTCGACCAGGTTGCTCTAAGACCCATCCAGCCTGGCCTTGGACGCTCCCAGGGATCCAGGGGCAGCCACAGCTTCTCTGGGCATCCTGTACCAGGGCTTCACCACCCTCACAGGCAGGAATTTCTTCCCAATTTCTAATTAACCCTTTCTTCCTGCAGCATAGGTTCAGTTTACTATCGCTAAACTTACTGGGTGCCTCAATAAGGAGAGACTGAAGTAGGCTGACAGGTAGGAGAGGGTGACAGACACATGTCTAAACATACCTGTCTCACTGATCCTCTGTAACTCCTCGTGGAACAGCCCAAATGAGCAGCACCATTTCCAGGAAACTCAAATTCCATCACTTAATGAGAGCCATAAAGAAGGGGTTTAGCTTTCTCTTGAGGATTGAAGGCTTTCTCAACAGGGAGCTGTTGAGGTGTGTTGAACTACTCTAAAATATTCTAGATAAATCTCTGTGTCTGTGCAGGCTGGAAAATGAGGATGGTTTGGCTTCAATTTGGGCTGTCTTCTGATGTCTGCAAGAGCAGAAGCCATGGAGCTGTGTGGGGATAACACTGGGTTTAGGCATCATCTGCTCACCGGTTAATCAGTACAGGGTGCATGGGGCTGGTCTAGTGGAAGGTGTCCCTGCCAATGCCAAGGGGTTGAAGTGAGATCGGTTTTAGGTCCCTTCAACCTGAAGCATTCCATGATTTTATGATAGAACCGTATGTGCTGGGAAAAGGGTGAGCAATGAGGACTTGTGCTCCTTTTAAGTCTGTTTTGTTTCAAGGATTTTGATGCAGGTAAGAGGGATGAGTATGTGCAAATGACACCAAGCCCACAGAGATATTGTGTGTTCTCTACAGCTGTGCTCTTGGCCAGAAAGAAGGATAAGCACTGAGCTTGGGGGGCCTCACGTACTGGGGAGCTGTAGGGTCTTCACAGGTACAGCCAGTTCAGGAGGTGCCCCTGCACTGGTTTGCTTTGTGCAGGTTGGAAGCTGCTGTTTCAGTGGCCTCTGCCATGCCACTGGATTTGGAATACCCTGAGCAGCTCACAGAGGAGAGATGGTGAGTGGAGAGTAATTCTGTCTGCTGCTTCTGCAGGAGATCACGCTAAAATGAGCCCTGCAGCTCATCCCCAAGGCTGGCTTTTGGGACTGAGTCCAAGTGAAAAAGCCCAACAAAAACCCCAAACCCAACCCTGTAACCTCAGGAAATCTGTGTTGCTGCAGAAACAAGTTCAGGGAAGGTCTGTGATGCTGTCCTGATTTAACCATGGTGTTAGAAATAATATGAAATGTTTGCATTAAACTCGAGGGGAAAATCCTTTGAAGAGCTAGGAGGGCTTTTCTCCTTCAAGCGCTCTGGTTCTTTTAGCAATCAGGATGAGTTAAAGTTGATGAATGCAATAATATGTAGGAAGATGACATCTTGGAATGTCTCTTAATTTTAAGTGTGTATTTTGAGCAAATGTTTATACACTGAGGCTTGGGCTGGGGGATTGAGGCATATTGGATTATATGCTATTTGCTCAGTGTAAGCAGTGGCAATTTATTGCTGCAGATACATGTGATGTGGTATGCAAAGATTAGTTCTATCCCCTCTAAAGCATGATTATTTTGGGTCCTCTTTATACCTTAAATAGATATTCTTCTCATGTGATTTCCATCTTTTTGTATCAACAGCCCAGGCTAAAGTTGAAATAAACATTGCATCAGCTTAATAGCACAAGCTCTGAGGAAATCTGCTCTCCATTATGGATGTTGTTTGGAAACCTTTTCATTTGACATTTTTCCAGTGTGCAGTGTAAATATCTTATGAATCCCAAAGCCTGCTGGGCTCCACTGGATTTGTGCGGTGCAGAACGATGTAATTGCTCAACACTGATGGCTCCTGTCCCCCAGCAGTGTGGTTTGGTGTGTTTTAGATCATAGAATCCCAGAATGGTTAAGGTTGAAAGGGACTTTAAAGACTGTCATCAAAGCAAACTGTAGCAAAAGCAATGACTTTGCTTTTGCTGACTTTATAGACTGGAGTCAATCAGGGTTTTATCCCCTTACAGGCCGTTCACTTCAGAGTTGGACTTGATGATCCCTGTGGGTCCCTTCCACTCTTGTTCTGTGACAGGCTGGTGTGGCTGGTGAGCATGGTGTGTCTGTGCTCCATGGTTGGTTTGAATATCTCAGCCAGACGTGGTTATTGGAAACCTCTTGTCTGAGCCCTTTTGCTTCTCTCATACAGCATCATCATGACAACAGAAAAGAGCCCAGCAGCCGACGCTGACAGCTCAGAGCAGCAGCAAGCCAAGGAGGAGGAAGGAGCTGGTGAAACACAGAAGCAAGAGGCTTCCCTGGAAGAAGGGGCTCAACCAACACCAGAGGGGGAGCCCCAGAGGCAGAAGGCCTCCAACGGAGACACCCCCACACACGAGGAGCAGAGCAAGAAGGAACGCCGCACCTCTGAGGGCCGGGGTCTCTCCCGTCTCTTCTCCTCCTTCCTCAGGAGGCCCAAGTCTCAGGTATCCGAAGAGGACAAAGACAGTGATGCTCCTAAAGAGGCGGGAGGTGACCAGAAAGATGCAGGATTAGAAGACATCCTAGTGAAAGCCCCGATTGCAGCTCCTGAGCCTGAGCTCAAAACAGACCCATCACTGGATCTCCATTCCTTGAGCAGTGCAGAAACACAGGTAAAACACCCCAGTCCCTGGGACATGCTCGCTGCTGATTTAAAATGTGTTTGTGTAGCCAGAACTAAAACAACTTCATATCCCAGGCTGGTGAGCTTGATCAGAAAAAGTCATGGTATGCCAGAAAGGCTCTTGTCAGCTCCCTGTGTTTCATTGTGTACTTCCCGCTCTTGCATCCCTGCATCAAACCTGCAAAGTACCTGTTCTTGGGAATTAGGCTCACACTCCACAGCATAATTTAAAATGCCCTGTGCTGAATCATGAGTCATTGCTCTGCTGAGGCTTGGGATGTCACATCAGAACACAGAGGGTTCACGTTCATTGGGTTCAGAGCCAGAGCTCATCATCAGGATGTCCTTGGTGTGAGCAGGATCAGCTCAGTGGCCCAAGGTGGAGACTGCAAGAGCACATGGATTTGGGAATGGGTTTCTTCACCTTCAAGGAGCACAAGCACGGCATTTTAGGACTTGGTCATCTGCTTGTTCCAGGCTAGTGCTGAGCCTGACAAATACAAATATTTTTAGCTTATGCCTCATGTAGACAGGGATTTTTGTATGGCACATGGGCTGGGCTCAGCTCCTGGGACATGTCTGATGTCTGCTTTCCAGCCAGGGTCATTTTTCATGCAAAATTTAAAGTTTAAAAATTTAAAGTAGAAATTGAGGCAGAGACACCCCTAAGGAACCAAGCTGTGGCTGGTTATTGATTTGGAGGTGCTGAATGCTGTTACTTGAGCCTGGAGTGGAAAAAGGTGAGTATTCCTTCTCAGCTGGGAATTTCTTATATCCCAACCAACCTGAGTGTATTGCTGGAGCTAGACAGGGTGAAATCTGGATTTCTTACCCACTGCCTTAAGTTCAGAGTGGCTCCAGATACCCACAAATGCTCAATTTTGGAGCAATACTTTTTACAAATTCAAGCACTGCCAGTAGGCAATAATTGCAAATCCACCTCCTTAAAATTAAAAAGTGGTAGAAAGGACAGTAGGTAAGCTTTTCCTTTCTTTTCCCAAATTTCTGAGTCTGTGAAGACTATGGGATGATCTCTGTTCATGTATTATACCTCTGAGGGTTGGGATTAGCAGGATGTGGACGATCTCCAGGCAATTTCAATCCAGAAATTGTATTTTCAAGAGGAACTTTTTCTTGGGATTGCTTAATGTTGGATGGATCTTGGAGCAACATGGTCCGGGGGAACCAGGAGATGGGCTTTAAGGTCCCTTCCAACCCAAACCATTCTGTTTATTTTAGTGCATGATTTCTTTCTCTGTTTATCTCTGATTTGCTGGTCCTGAGCCCATGTGAATTTGCACCCCAGCCTTTCTTCATGGGCTGTTCATTTTAGAGGATGCATTTGTGCCTTTTTTTTTTTTTTTTAGTTCTTATTTTAGATCACTCAGTGGCTTTCTGAACTGTGTCACTCGGCAGATATTTCTGCTGTGAAAGCATTTGCAAGGTGCTGCAGTTTGATAAATGCTGACCGATGGGCATTAGGAGCTTTGACTGATTCCATGCTCCCAGTTGTCCCAGTTCTGCTGGAACAGAAGTCAGCAGCTTGTGGACATTATTTAGTTTTTAAATACCTCTGTGCACTTGTGCCTGGGTGTGATTTCATGAGACGTGGTTGGCTGAACAGACAAGGCTTTGCCCTTCCTCTGCTCCAGCTCTGTGCTCTTGCTGCACCCAGTCTGGCATTGTCCAGTCCCTTCTGGCATTGTCACAGCCTGCCATGAACTTGTTTAACCTGCTGAAGTGGCAGAGGGGAAAAAAAACCCAGCTTCCTTCCTCTTCTCATCCCCAAACTGCATCCTTCTGCTGTTTGAGTGGATTAAACTGTCTTGCAAAGTGCTTTCATAGGCAAAGGGATGGTGGCGTGGAGGCCGCCTTCCCTTTGGGGTGGCAAAGAGCTGCTTGGTCAGCTCTGACAGCCACAAAACCTCAGCCCTGACCCCCCTTTTAGTGCTACTGCTACTATAAAATCCCACAGTGGTTTGGGTTGGAAGGGACCTTAAAGCCCATCCCATCCCACCCCCTGCCATGGGCAGGGACCCTTTCCACTATCCCAGGCTGCTCTAAGCTCCATCCAATGTGGTGCTGGACACTCTCAGGGATGGGGCAGCCACAGCTCCTCTGGGCACCCTGTGCCAGGGCCTCCTCACCCTCACAGGCAGGAATTTCTTCCCAATATCCCATCTTGCCTCTGTCAGTTTAAAAACATTCCCTCTTGCCGTGCCAAGGGCCAATGCACTGGAGCAACAGCTATGCCAAAGTGGCAGTGGGAGCACCGGGGGTCCTGCCTGAGAGGGGAAAAACCTTCCCAATCCAGAAGATGCTGTCACTAACATCATGAATGCATGATATAATCTGCCCTGATTTCTCTAATCAACACCTACTTCTTTTTTATCACATTCTTTACAAAATGAAAACTTGAAAAATATTTGGAAGAGTTTTAAAAATGAACACCATTCCCTTAGTCACCCCAGCTGCTGCTCCAGGTCCTGGGTTACAGGTTTAAAGTGGGATAATGAATTCTGAGTGAGATCCCAGCCCTGCAGTGCTTGTTCCATGTGATGCTTTGTTTGTTTGCTTGACATCTCTCAACTGGGGGTTTCAGCCTGCTCAGGAGGAGAGGAGGGACGACCAGGAGCCAGAGGGAAGAGACCTCGAGGACAGGGAAGAAGGGGAAGCAAAGGAAGAGGGTGCCAAGCCAGAGTCTCTGGAGACTAAAGCAGACAAGGATTTGAAAGCTGCCCAAAAAGCAGTGAAAAGACACAGAAACATGTACTGCAAAGTCGTCTTGCTGGATGACACCATTTTTGAGTGTTCTGTGGATGTAAGTACTTTGGGGGTTTGGTTCTGCTTCTCCTCTCTTCCCTCTCCTTTCTGTTTCTCTTGAAAAATCACCACAAACACAATTTAATAGGGGCCTAATGTGCTGCCAGGGAATTACATGACAGGTTTTACTGCAGAACAAGCCTGCTGTAAGCTATAACAACTTTATTTAGTGTGTTGTAAAAGCGTCTGGGTACTAGGAATCTTTATTTTTTATTGTTCTGCAATTCCAGGGTGTCTTACTCTATAAAGGTGGGCAGAAGTTAAAAAAAGGAAACAGCCAAACGCAAACTTTGTATCATTTGCTGTTCATGATCTCTCTCATTTGTATCCCAGGCAAGAGTTTAGGTTTTTGGGGTAGGTTGCAATTGTCTAAATAACTTTTGCCTCCCTGGCTTTGAATAAAATAGGTGGTATAAAATTGATTTGTGCTTTTCTAGTTCCCCAGGGTACCTTTACCTCTCAGGCTGCTGGTTAACTTAGCTCCTGGTACTTGGATGTAAAGAAAAACACGCTGTGTTTAGCCTGCAGTTGATTGTATTTCCAGTAAACAATTTAAAATTATGTTGACTTAGAGCACTGCAACCCCCTTCATCTGAGAGCTTTTTTCCTCCTTTATTTTGTGCATTCTCTCACAGGGCTGTGGTGCTGTCAGGGCAATAAAAAGCAAGCAGAAATCCCTATTTTAGTATCAAAGTACTTGTGCAGAATATTAATAATCTGGTACTTACCATTGGAGCAGCTTGTTTTCTCTCAGTCCTGCTGGTAAATGGGCCAGGAGAGGGTATCTGGGCACAGGGCTCCTTGTGGGAACAGTCACCTTGGGTGATCCTGGGCAAGTAGGTCAGAGCTGAGTGTTTGTGTAATGATGGTGCTGTTGGTACTGCCTGGGATCAGCCCAGAGCATCACTGCCCCATCACCTCCCCCTTGGCCAGGGACACTGTGTGCAGCCCCAAGGAACCTCTTCCCCAAATCCCAATGACAGCTTGCCGTGGCTTTGTGCCTGGGTTTGCTGCAGTGATGCTGTCATGGACACTGTTGGAGGGAGAGCCATGGGAAGTCCTGGCTTGAGCAGGACGTGAGAGATGTCTCTCTGTAGGTCCAGAGTGTCATGGTGGGCGCTGCAGAGGATTAGGGGGTCTGCTGTGTCAGTGAGACCCTCTTCACTTGAGAAGTACCCTTGGCTTTAGGACCAGTAGAGTTCTGCTCTGGTGTTTTGAGAGTTTATTAAGATTTAATTGGGAAGGAATTGTAAAGGTGTAGGCAAAGAGCGGCACAAATGCCTTTATCCAAGGAGAATTAGTGCTTTCGGGCATCCTTTCCAACTGACAGCCCTGGAAGCTTTTTCGTTCCTATATCAGTGCCAATTCCTTGAGGAATACCCAGGCTAACACATTCATTATGTTACCTACAGAGTCACAATGTGTGCACAAAGGACCTGACAGCTGAAAGGCTGGAATAAAGCCAAGGAGTAAAACAATGCAGGGGTCTTGGAGCAGTTGCCATGCAGAGATGACTGACAGGAGAGCTGCGGGCATTAGTGAAGCTGATTTTGCGTCACTGGAGCTGCACTTTCTTCTAGCAAAGCCTCCAATGGAATGAGCTGCTTCTGGTTGCCATAGTTTTATGCCTCAGGGATGTTTTCCTTCATGCTTTTGGACTAAAAGGGTGTCTGTTCCTTGGGCCAGTTCACTTCTGCAGGATATGGGGGGAAGAAAAAGAGGAAATAGGAATTCTCAAAGTATATTTCTGGAGGCAGGAAGCTGTGTGCTGAGCAGCTTTGGGTGCGTGAAGCAGATGGGAGAAGTTGGTTTTCATCCGCAGAGCAGGGTGATGGAAAGGCCACGGAAATCATGGGCTTTTGTTACTTGGCTGCTGTCTTTTTTCTGAACCTAAGAAGAGTCAGGTTGCCCCTGAAATGAATAGGTTGTAGCAGCAGTTTCATGTCTTGCTCCACACCTAATGGTCTGGCAGCCTGACCCTGGGAGATACCAGCACTGTAGGGAGGGAAAAACTTTACAGATCCTTGCTGTCTACTGAGCTGTGTTGGGAAGTCCAGCTTTGGGGGATTTTCAGACACGGAGCTGGTGGGAAGAGGGAGACCCACTGTGGCTCTTGTTTCCTCTCCATGGAATTTTTATGTCTGGTGCCCTTTGCTGTAAGGAGTCCTTGCTCTGAAACAGCCAGGAGATATGATTTGGAGCTACTTGGGACTTTTTTTCCCCTTACTGGTAGTGTACAATGTGGTTTGAACCTGTTCCCTTTGTCCCCTCTCCTGTGAACAAAGGCAAAACCCAGCCCTGTCCTACAGGATTTCTTTGTCTATTTGCAGAAACATGCCAAGGGACAGGATCTTCTTAAAAAAGTCTGTGACCACCTCAATCTGCTGGAAGAAGACTACTTTGGTTTGGCCATATGGGACACACCAACCTCCAGGGTAAGCAGTAGCTGGCCCCGAGGGGATTCAGCTCTTCCTGCATCATCTCCCCAGGGCAGGAAGTGGGGCAGAAGCTACTCTTCAAACTCATTTTGATGTCCTCCCTAAATATGGATTGCAGGTCATCACATAGGAAGAAATGGTGAATAAATAACTACAGCAGTGTGGATTTTAGTCAAAAAGCTGTTTGAATCATAGAACGAATCCTAGTGAACTGGGGTCTTCACCCAGAGAAAAGTCATTGTATTAGTTGACTGCAAAATGATGTCATTAAGTTATAAAGCTGAAGCGGTCAGGCTGCCCTGGCACTGGTGTCAGCATTGGGAAGGTTTGGTTGGATCCACCCAGAGCATTTGGAGTTGAGCCTTTGCCCTGAAGAACAGATGTGACTCTATACCAAAGCTCCTACTCATGGTTTCAATTGAAGGTCTTTGTTTGATTTGACTCATCTTATCTTTTGAAACCTTGGTTACCCTTTAACTAAACAATTATTCAAGGTCTGCTTCATAAAGCCAGAAGTGAGATGATTGAAATGAAGGTCCCAATTCTATGTCCATTAGGCCAGTTGTGTTCGTCCATATTCTGACTCTTCCTCTGCTTCAGTCCCCTGTGGCCAGGTTACTGACTGACAGATGTCTGTCCTTAAATGCTTTATATTGTTTTATACACTCACAGGCAAAATAACAACTAAAAACAACAACAACAACAAAAAAAAAAAACACACTCTTTGAGGCAGGCAGAACTTCTACTTTGTTTTACAGTCTCTGGTGTCTTCCAGTTTTCTTGGGTGTTTCCATGTATATAACCTGTTTTTTTTTTATATCAGAGGATTTTTTTATATCAGAGTTTGTTCTTGCAGAGGGAGGGGTAGGTGTACTTTTAGATCCAGTTAAGAGCAAAAGAGTGTAGCTGGAGCAGCTCAGCTTCTTCTGCATGTGCTGTGGGTATGCACTGCTGCATTTGGATGTTAGGAAAAATTCCTTCCTGGAAGGGATTGTCAAGCCCTTGGCTGCCCAAGGAAGTGGTGGAATTACTGTCCCTGGAAGTGATCAAAAAGCATATAGATGTGGCACTTGCAGACACTGCATAGTGCTAGCCTTGGCAGTGCTGGAGTAATGATTGGACTTGATGACCTTAGAGGGCTTTTCTTGAATGATTTTGTGGTCTCCCAGACCCTTGGACTTGCTCTTCTTATGTCCAGGCTTTTGGCATTGATTCTTCTGGGAGCAGAAGCATGTACCTTCTCCCTCAAGCCAGCAAGAGCCGAGAGATTGTGCAGCTTTTTAACTGTAAGGACTGAAAACAGATTGTTTTGTCAGATCTGTGTCCCAGAGCTGCAAGCTGGGGCAGGTGAGGCCACTGTCCATGGGTTGTTCAGCTCCAGTGTGGAGCAAGCTTGTTTGGTTTGCTCTGATGAGTGAAAACAGCATTATATTTTTTTTAAGTCTTTCTGGTTATGTTTCATTGAACTTTGAAATCTGAAGCTTTATCTCTTTCCTGCTGTGACTTCAAACAGGACCTCCCCAGAGTTACTAATTCATAGGTAAAATGGTATTAATGGGATCCGAGAATGAGCTCCTGCACCTCACCTGCAGCTGTGTGGAGAAGGTGGAGAGATACACGTGTGTATTCACGGATAGGGAAGGGTTGGATGTGACATTTTCCACCTTGATATTTAGGGAATAAACTTTCTGAGGACCAGTAATTACCCACGTGGGCATAGCAGAGGGTGACAGTGGAACTGGGAGGTTGCGACAGTGGCTGGAGCAGCAAGGAGCTCATTGCCCTGAAAAGGAGGATTGTTTCCCACTGATTCATGACCCAGTGGGATAAAAGTGTCATTAATTGCTGTTGCCATCATTGTCTGCTGGATCAGGCAGGGTGGGATGCATGACTGCACCCTGGACTCACCCCAGTGACGAGCAGTTGTGGCACCAGCTCGGCCATGGAGATGCTTTCTTCCGAGCTATGGCCCTAAAAAGGCAGCAGATCTTCCTTTCAAATGGATTTTGTATCCCCACTTCTATATGTTAGAGGAGCAGGCATATAAAAAGAGGAGATTAAATGTAAGTATTGCTGTCTCCCTGCCACGAAGTTACGTGTCCTGGTCAGGAGAGATTAGCTTGGGGGATTCAATGAGTTAATTCCTTCACCTCAGGAGACCTGGACGTTGAAATCCTATTCAGAGCTGGTGAAATGAAGAGGTGGTTAAATGCAACATCTCCAGGGTATTGCTAGCCCAGTGCCAGTCCCTGCAGCAGGACAAGCAAACCTGACCCCTGCAAAGGGAAAGGCTCAGACTGTGGAAAAAGCAGGAATTACGTTTTGAGGCTTAAATTGCACCACCATTCCACAAAACCCCAAATTACAGAGGAGGGATAAAAAGATATACTTCTAAATTTTACCTGAGATAATTACTAGAAACTTTAGTCATAGTTAAAAGAAATGAAGTTTATGTCATACTCCTGTAAAAAGAATTGAAGCCATACTCAGGAATTGGGTGTTTTTACTCATATTTCAGCAATTAGGTCATTGAAAACTATAGCTAATAATAGAAAGTCTTGGTGATCTTTGATCTGAATAGGGTAAGTAAGAAGACAGGGTGCTTAAAATTAATGTATCCGTCCTATTTACCTATTTTTAAAGGTTCTGGAGAATAAAAAAGGTGTTGTACAAGTGTCCCTGGTAGCTGGATGTGGTTGTGGCTGTTCCTGTTGCTCTGTTCTTGCAGCCCTTAATAATATGTTGGGTTTTTTTTCCCTCCTACCTCCCTTATGAGTCCCTGGTAGGTGAATGGTTGGAAATACACACACTGTGAGAGCACAGCCTGGAGTAAAAGTAGTGAAAAATGCTCCAGCTCTTCAGTTTCCATGGCTGCCTTTGTGTCAAATATTGACTTTTTTTTTTCCTTCCCCCTGTATTTTTAGCAATTTTCAGCTTTCTGTGGTGTTTCTGGAATGTCTGGTAAACTGTGAATGTTTTTATCCTTTTACAGACATGGCTGGATCCTGCCAAAGAAATAAAAAAGCAGGTTCATGGTAAGTAGATTGAATTTATCGTGTGTGTGGGGGTGTGGTTTCTCCAAATGTGGCTTTGGTGAAGCATCCAGGGGGCCCAGGGATGGGGAGAGGTCAAGTGAGGGTGGCTGGCAGGGATCAGCACAAGTTCAAATAGTCTGTGTATCCTTTCTGTCCTTCTTAAGGAATTAGGGATGCTCTAGATTTAGGAAAAAATGTCATTTCCTTGGTAAAACAGCTTGGGGTGTGTTTGCCTGAAGCAAATGCACACTGTCAGTGCACTGCTGAAATGGGGATTGCTCCTTGCTGTAGGATGGGAAAATGGGTGTCAATGGGAACCACTGAAATCCCAAAGGAGATTGGGAGACCCCAAGCAGAATTTTATGGTGGAACAAGATTTTATGGGCTCTGAGGCTGTTTTGGGGTCCAAATAGGGGCACTGGAATCATAAATGGCTTGAGAAATAGCAGCTCAAATACCAGGTGCTCTCCCAAGTTGTGTTTTAAGGTCTGCTAGCACTGAATTAGTTCAAGATGTGCGAAGTGTCAAAATTAAATGTTTTAGAGGCTTTTGTTTTCTCTTTGGAGCAAGTCTGACTGCTCTGGAAGTTTTGGGAAGGAAAATACTGGTTTTCAGATGCATTTGGTGGGAGGCCCAGGACAAAGTATGTCATTAAGTTCAGATTAGGGGGAAACACAAGGCTGTGGAGTAGGGAAAGCTCCTGCTCCTACCAGCTTATTTTATGGAATCAGTAGCAGGGTGTGTGTGCCTTGCTCCATCCATAAAATTCATCTAGTGAATGTAACAAAGAGCAGCCTGCTGTGAAGTCTGGTCCCCTGGGGATGGGTTAAATGGCAAATGACTTGATTTTACTTGAAGAGAAGGTATTTTGCATGTACATATGAATGTGGACACCAGTGTGTGGTGGTTTAGGTAACCTCTGCTCCCTTCATTGTCACCTTGGAATCACTCGTTTTGAACTGTGTGTGATGAAAACAATGTGCCTTGTGTTTAATCCCAGTTATGGTATTGCATAAGAAGTAAATCCAGGAATGCTCCATTCCCCCTGCTCCCTGTGTGAGATTGGGATAAACCTCTAAGCGAGTTAAGTGCAGGGGTAGATCTTCTCATTCTGAAATAAATCTTACTTTGAACTAGTGTTAAAGGGCACAGCATGAAAATCACTGTCAGGACTATCTTCTACTGGGAAATGGGATTATTTTCTAGGAAAAGAGAGAGTTACCTCTTCAGCTGTGTCATCTGGGCTGTCCATACCACATGTAATGCCAATTTTATGTGTGATTATGTGGATTCTGGCTCAGTTAATGTCTGTAATGGTGCTATACAAAGTTTGCAACAAGCTGTATTAAAGCAATTAGGTCTGGACTTGAAAAGCTCTTCCTATCCTGGTGCTTTCTGCCTTCATCCAGAGGTTGATGCTTGTGTTTGGCTAAGTTTAAGCTGTGTCTGACCACCTGATCCCAGTGCATTAAGCTGAGGAGGGACTTAGCACAGCCCTCCTTGAACTTTGAAATTTGAATTAAGCAGTTAACCAATCCTAATTCATTAATGTATAGTCTATGCCTGACCTGTCTTCATAAATCCCTTTTCAGACAATGAAAAAACATGTCAGTCATTGAGCTCCTTAGCAATAAATTTAATTTTTGCCACAAGATATGGTTAATCCAGGTGATTTTCCCTGCCTTGCTTTTTTTCTCCTGCTTTTCTTACCTTCTGTAAATGAAATCACATCTTACACAGGTGTTGAGCTGCAGCAAGCTGTGAGAGCGAGCAGTATCAAATCAGTGTTGCATCTGAAGATCAGATGGATATTCCCAGCTTATTTTTAAATCAGCTGATCATCACAGAGCTGTCCCAGTGTGTTTATTTTTCTCAAGGTCTCCCTTGTCATTGCAGGAGGCCCCTGGGATTTTACCTTCAATGTCAAGTTTTATCCACCAGATCCTGCCCAGCTAACAGAGGACATCACGAGGTGAGTTACCTGGGAATCTTACAGCCATGTTCTCCTGAATATGGGATAGAAATATTTCATATTTGGGTGTTATTCCCTCCTTCAGAAAAGAGGACCAGATGCCTTCACTGGAGGGGGTTTGGTTTGCTTTTAGTGGATGTGAGGATGCTCCCACTCTCCACTGGAGTCCACGTGTCAAGCAGTGTCATTTATAGCTCTGCCACGTGCATGTTTGTATAGAAAAGTAAATTCTTACCTAAAGCCAAGATTTTCTGGTCATAGTGTCCTTTACTTCCTTTGCAGAGTGGAGGCAACCTTGAATCCTCCAGTCCTCCGCACTGTTTACCTTGGGAATAAGTAAAAATTGGAAATAAGCATTGTCATGTGTTCATCAGTGGCATACAAAAAGATATTCTCAAGTTAATAAATTTCTCTTGGTTCTCTGTGAATAGTATTTTCCATTCTGCCCCCAGGTATTACCTGTGTCTGCAGCTCAGACAGGACATCCTTACAGGGCGGCTGCCCTGCTCCTTTGCCACCTTGGCTTTGCTGGGTTCCTACACGGTCCAGTCAGAGTTGGGAGATTATGATCCTGATCTCCATGGCCCGGATTATATCACTGAGTTCAAACTGGCCCCAAACCAGACAAAAGAGCTTGAAGAAAAGGTTGTGGAGCTTCATAAAACATATAGGTAAGGCTGGAGGACTTGTTTGTGCACAGCAACATGAAATAAGGGAAATAATTGGATTTTCTGGTGTGTTCCCCACCTCTGTGAGATACAGAAAACTTGTGTATGTGGATCCCTGAAAGTGTTCAAGGCCAGGCTGGATGGGGCTTGGAGCACCTGGGATAGTGGAAGGTGTCCCTGCCCATGGCAGGGGATGGAATGAGATATCCATATTGTGTGAACATTAAACTTGAGAGAGTTTTCAGTGGGAATCATAGAATCATGGAATTGTCTAGGTTGTAAAAGTCTTTTGGAGACCATTGAGTCCAGCCATTAACCCAGCACTGCCAAGCCCACCACTGAACTATGTCCCCAGGTGTAACAGCCATGTGTTCTTTGGACATTGCCAGGGAAATCTGTGCTAAACCGTGCTCTGGCTCTTGCTTCTGTAGTTGCAAAGCACAGGGTGCATATCAAGATGGTATATTCTGGGGCTTTCCTACAAGGTTGTCCTTACAGTGGACAGTTTTCCCTGTCTCCCACCACTCAGACCTCTATTTACATCACACACAAGATGTATGTGAGTGCTCAGTAAGGAAGACATCAAAGGAGGGTAGAAAATGAAATGTATGCAGCTGAATGCTCTCCCAGCAGAGCTGTTAATGTACCTCTTACAGCAGACAGTATTAACGGGGACACTTCAATAACGTTGATAATGGCCTCTATTATCAGGATGTCTTTGTTAAATTGTGCCCCTCTTACAGACAGGGCACCATCTGTTCCCAGAAAACCCCTCATTCGTCTGCTCTCCTGGCTGGAGTCTGTGCTGAGTGCTTTCAGCTGTCTGTATGTTTGGTTGGAGAACAATAGCAGGGTTTGGGGAGGTCTGGAGGCAGCAGGCCGCTGGGGGACAGGACCTATTCCCTTTTGCTCAGTTGGGTTTCTTCTGCTGAATCAATTTTTGTCCTCTCACTGCTCTTCCTCACTTCCTTCTCTAGTGCCTGTACAGCTTCACAGAAATAAAATGCTGCTGTGTTACTGGGATGTCTCAAAGCACAAATTTGGGCACTCAGAGTGATTTCATAATTCATCACCTGGGCACAGATTTATTTGTATTGAAAGCAAATGAAAATACAATCTAATTTTATGGAGTCTGATCTGTCTTCTCTTAAAAGTAACAGTTTTGAGCATACCAAGCCCTTTCTTTTTCTGTAGATCCATGACTCCAGCCCAAGCAGACCTGGAATTTCTTGAGAATGCAAAAAAACTGTCTATGTATGGAGTCGACCTTCACCAAGCCAAGGTGAGAGCCAGAGTGTGTGCACCTAGTTGTGGGTTTTGTAATTTGATTATCCATCCCTTGCAGGAGCAAGTTTACTTGTTTTGGGGAGCTCCTTTGGAAAGAGAAGAAGAATGGAAAGACAGACATACAACAGGAATGCCTCAAGCATTCCTGCAAAAGAATGCTTTATTTATTGGTTGCTTATTATTTATATGTCACAAGAAACTTTCCAAAGCTCCTCCTATAGACAGGTCCTTGCTCTGAGTGACTTAGAGTACAATATGTATTCCTGCCTCATGAGGCTCTGTGCTTCAGGAAATGCAGGATGGGCTCTTGATAAAGCCTTTGGGCAGCCAGTAGAACAGGAGAGATCAGCAGGAGGGGGGAGTTTGTCAGGAAAAGTGTGAAAGGAAAGGAAGGGTGACCATGGAGTTAAGAGTTGGAGTCTGCATGGTGGGGAGATGAATTTATGGGAAGTCCAGAGGGATGGTTTGGAAGGCAGATGTTGACATGAAACTCATAAACCTGTCACTGCTTAAATCCTCATCTGAATTCCCAGGACTTGGAAGGAGTGGATATCACTCTGGGAGTCTGTTCCAGTGGCCTTCTTGTTTACAAAGATAAGCTGAGAATCAACCGCTTCCCGTGGCCCAAAGTCCTGAAGATTTCCTACAAACGCAGCAGCTTCTTCATAAAGATTCGGCCAGGGGAGGTACGATTGGCTTCTGTGGCCTCCTGGCATCCTCTGTTTCCTTGGGATCCTCACTCTGTGTGTCCCTGGAACAGTGGGGTGGGGTCAGGCTCTTCTCTGGGAGTGTTTGACACCGGGGTGTCAGTGTGGCCAGTGTGTCACAGCGTGTCATCCAGCACCACCTCCTGGCATTGCTGGATATTCCCAGCATCCAGGGAAAGGCCTGGGAGGAGGACAGATGAAACTGGGGCAACACTAACTCATCTCTTGGAAATGGGACAAGACAATGGCTCTTTGTCTTGCTTTCATTCAAAGGAAATAACTAAAAATTAGAATTAGCTTTTCACCTAAGTTCAGCAAGCAGGGAATGGATATACTGGTGCTGCTTCATAAATGGGGAAATCCCTAGAACAGCCTGATGACAGCAGGGAGAGAGACTACAATGGGGATCCACCTCTTTCCTCTTCCTCCTCCTCCTGGTTTCAGTGTCGTGACCCAGCCTTGTGGGGAGGTTAGTGTTTGACCTCAGCCCACAGCTAGGCAGTATGACAGGGGGGATAAACCCATGGCATGTTGCTCTGCAAATCCCAGTGTGTCCTGAGGGATGCCTGGGCTCCTGGCCAAGCCCTCTCTTTCCTCTGACCTGAGGTCCTGCTGCACACTGTGGGGCAAGTTCAGCAGTTTGTGCCACGGCTGACCAGGGTGGTGGGCTGGGGACTGGGCTTCTGCCACATTTATTTCCTGCTATACCCAAATAACTTATGTTTTCCACAGCAAGAACATTATGAAAGTACAATTGGGTTCAAGCTACCAAGTTACCGGGCAGCAAAGAAGCTGTGGAAAGTATGTGTTGAACATCACACCTTCTTCAGGTGGGTTTTCTGAACAGTAGCCTCACCCAGAGTAACTTGGTGCTTGAATTTAACTACTGAAAATTTTCCTTAGCATTTTGAAAAAATGGGAGAGAAGCTGTTTCAGGGACAGTAGATGTTTATTTTGCAGTAAATTTTTAAGCAAGCTCTGTTTTGTAAGACCCATAAGAGATCTTTGGGTCACGTAGATGTGAGATATCATTAGTATGTGCATTTCCTTGGCCAAGTGGATGCAAGAGACTCCTTTAATTTCTGTTCTAATTCTTCTTCACAAAGCCCTTCCTGGCTCTGAAGGTGTGATTTTTAAATGTGTGTGTGTGTTTCAGGCTGACTTCCACCGAGGCCATCCCCAAGAGCAGGTTCCTGGCGCTGGGCTCCAAGTTCCGCTACAGCGGCCGGACGCAGGCTCAGACACGGCAGGCGAGCGCCCTGATCGACCGCCCTGCGCCCCAGTTCGAGCGCACGGCCAGCAAGAGAGCGTCCAGGAGCCTGGATGGAGGTGAGTCAGTCCCTGCTGTCTGCTCTCTCTCCGTTCTGGAATCACCAGGGTGCTGAAGTATTCCTTAAGGAACACCTGGATTCCCTGCTGTACAAAAACTCGGGCGTAACTGGTCAGTGTAGTACAAGACCTTGTTCCTGCCCCTTAAGTGTTTAGGAATTACGTGCCTGTAGTGAGACCAAATTGGTGCTCAGTTGGTTAGAGCAGGGTGCTGATAATGCCACAGGCATAGGTTTGTTTCCCATATAGGGCATTCACTTAAGAGTTGGACTCTATGATCCTCATGGATCCCTTCCAACTCAGAGTATTCTGTGATTCTCTGATTTGGACTTGATGATCTTTGTGGGTTCCTTCCAACTCAGAAAATTCTGATTCATCACACAACCTTCATTCACATGAACAAAACCATCCAGCCAAACCAAAAATTTGCCCTACAAAAACCAAAACAGCATTGTCACAACACAGAACAAAAGTAGACAGTTTACACCTAATGCACCCATTTTCCTTCACCACAATTACAAGAAGAATTCCTTATGATCATTCTGCTCTCTAACATTGCTCAGTACTTTTGCCTGTTACCTCTCCTGGTTTTTATCATTATCTCAGTATCACAGCACTGTGAGGGCTGTTACAGGTAAATAAACTCAATCTCAGCCAGACCCAATACAAAAATGCAAACCAAGGGTGGTCCCAGCCGAACTAACTGATGAAAAGAATGTAGGTGGGTGCTGAAGGCTTATGGTAAAGTTCTGCTTGGAAAGATATTCTTCATTTGATCTCAAAGCATTTTCTGTTGGAAAAACAGGAATTAAGCCATTCTGTTTGTTTTGTTTGATGTAACTTCTTAAATTCCATAGTTTTATGTGAGGGGGAGATTTGTTGCCATGATAGAAACTTTTTCAGGTTCTGTTAAAGTGATGCTCAGATTGAAATGTGTCAGTCAGATGGGCTCATCCCTGAGATTTTTAAAAGAAATAGCAGAGAAGGTGAGGCATGGAAAAAGGGGGTGCCCACGTTTGGTCCACATGATCTGTGTCACAGGGTATTAAGATCCAGGGAAAGAGTATCATTCCTGTGCACTGTGAGGATGCAGGGAAAGAAGGAAAGAGGTGTCCCTGTGCACCACAGACACCTGATGGAGCAGGGACCATGTTGCTTTGAGCCCTGAGTTTGTGCTGCAGCCTGGGGGGACCAGAGCTGCTCAGCACCTCATAGCCAGCAGCAGCCAGGCTGTCCCTGCTCCTGGGCTCAGTGACATCCCAAGCCTGGCTTTTGTGTCGTGGAGCTGGAGGGAAGGATTGATTCAAGCTCCCTAAGGCAGCGAAGCCAAATTCCAGTTTGTCTGCAGCCTGGGCATGTGAAGTTCCTCAGGCACAGTGCACAGCAGCAAGGGCTCCCGTGCTGCTGGCTGCCCACTGGCCATGCCATTATGACCCCAGATGAGTAGAGAAATGGCAGCTGCAGAGCTACACCTGGATGTCAGAGCTTGGAGAAGAGCAGCCTGGGAATGTGACACTTGTGCCTCCTTGACGTCTGCGCCTTCGCCACGTGGGAGGTCGTTAACGTGTGCCCCGTTTCTTCAGCTAAACGTGCGACTCAAAGGGTTGAGTTCAGAACCCTAGAGGAAGAGAAGCAGAAGGAGGTGGTGGTGGTTGAGGTTCCTGAACCAAAACCTGCGGATCAGATCCGAGAGAAGCCAGGTATAGCTGTGGTGGTGGTGGTTTGAAACTCTCTGCAGTGCCTTTCCTATCCTCTACGTGCTTGTTCCTGACAATTTCCAATTTTCACCAAATGTGGTGGCTTTCTCTCTTCATTTCTTTGCAAGAAGAATTCTGCAGTCAGAGGAGACACAACCCAGCTCTGGGAGACTCCTTTAATTTCCACCTTGCACCTCTTTAGACTGCAATTCTTGTGGGGAGGTGGGTCAAAGATTAGGATGTGCTGGCACTTGAGAATGCTCTTGTTAAATGTGGGTAGTTTTGTATATATGGATTAGAAAACTTTAAAGTTTGATCCTGAAATGTCTTCTGAAGCTTCTAAAATTCTTCATCCTGGGACCTCCTTGCCACTTTGTGTTGTTTTTTTTTTTTTGGTGTTTGAGAAATGCTACCTGTTTTGCTCTGTGGAGCTTACATTTCCCTTAGGATAGGTATTATTAATAAATATGAATGTCCTTAAGTTGTGTGTAGGTACAACAGCACATTTGAATACTAGCAAGTGTATCACAGCAGTAGTATTGCAAATATTTGCAGTCTTCATCACTTGGATAGTGACCACCTGCGTGTGGTAACACACCACACCTGTGATGTGTTAGGGCTGGAGATAATTCACAGGCAAATGCCGTGGGTACCCTCCTCCCACACAGAGCTTTTTACAGCGTACTTTTGACTGCATTACTGCTTTTCTAGTATGTTGATCAAGTTTTCATGAAGTGTAGCCAACTTCCCCTTCATGGGCATTCCTTGAATCCTCACTAATCAGGATCTCCTGGTGGGGAAAGCCTGATGCAGTAAAGGGAGAAGGTGAGGAATTTCAGACACTAGGGTAGATTTGATCACTCAAGTACATTTAATTAAAGCTGCTAGATTTTAGATAGTTTTTTTGTCTGGATGTGTTTTTCCTGCATTTTTCCAGCCAGCACCTGCCTCCCTCCAGACTTTGTAGGCAGAGCCCTTCCTAGTTCCACACTTGAGAGCTGTTCATGTGTCTTACATCTCCTTTCCTGGGCAAGGAGCCCATAAAGCTTCTTTTTGTGTTCTTTCCTCCTCTCATCCACTACGCTGTTGGGTCTGACAGCACTAGAAGGACTGACACAGTTCCATGGTGGAAAATGACTATAGAGCTGCCTGGAAACCTCCTTGTTGTTCCCAGCTACTGAGAAGGGTCTCCCCAGTCCTTGCTGTGGTGACCATCGTGTGTCTGTGTGGGTCCCCAACCCCCATTAACACCTGCAAACCTCTTTCTAGCCAAGCACGCTCTTGAAACTTCTGAAATGAAACCCATTGCAGAGGAGGAAGAGGAGGAGAAGGTAGAGGTGGTTAAGGTTCCTGTTGTCAAGCCAAAGTCAGCTGAGCTGGTGCAGCTGCGGTCAGGTACAGCTGCAGTGGTTTTTGGTGGCAGTGGCTCCTGTGCTGTTGCTGCTGGGGTGAAGTGATGGCAGTGCTGTAGGACAAAGGTTACTCTGGTTGTGCTGGTGTTGACACTAAAATCACCCCTGGCTTTGCTGTGTGCTGCTTTTCAGGTGTGCTGTGGGTGCAGTGAAGGTGTGCCATGCCCTGGCTGCATGTGGAAATGAGTGTGCAGTGGCCTCTAAAAGCTCCTCTCATACTATCCCTTTCTGTGAGGTTTGTTCCCCTGAGCTTTATGAGTGTGCAGTGCTTGGAAATCAGGTTATGAGATCTGTGACTGCTGGAGATCCCCTATATTCCACTTTATTTCTTCACTAGGGAGCTGCTACTTGCCTAGTTGGGGGAGGATGTCAGAGCAACGTTGCTGCTGCAGACAGATTCATATTAATCATAATTAAAAGTAGAGTTGATTATTTGTTGCAGGAAGAGGAGGTTGAAGCCATAGAGGGAAGTAAGTGGGAACATTGCATGTTTCCTTGGTTAGTATGAAAACTGCTGGAGTCACAGCCCCGAGGCTGCCAGAGCTCCAGGAACAATTGGACAATGCTTTCAGGCACTGGGTGGGATTGTTGAGATGTCCTGTTTGCACCAGGACATTCCCAGTTCCTGCAGGACCAGGAATTGGACTCAGTGATCCCTGTGGGTCTCTTCCAACTCAGCAGATCCTGTGATTCTGTATTCCACAGGATGTGTGGCAGCAGATCAGACATCAGCTGGTGTCAGACCCAAACACATCCAGGGCTCTCCTGCTGTAGCTGCCCCTTCTCATGCACCTCCTGCACTTTTCCTCCTCCTGGCTTTTCAGCTCCCAGTAGGGACTGTTGGTGAGGTGTGGTAGCCATTGTGAGCAGTCATAGAATTCTGGAATGGTTTGGGTTGGAAGGGACCTTAAAAATAATCCAGTTCCAACCTCTGTTTTATATCTCTGTGCTTTTTACTGTGTTTAAATCATGTGTCAAAATAGCCAAAGACAGTTAATCAGGAAAATGTAACTAAAATGCCGTTCTGTCAGCCCAGAATTCAGTGTTGGATGGCTCAGGAGAAGCTTGGTGTTTTTCCTGCATGTCTTGATGCTCTGGGAGAGCAGCAAGAAAGATGGCCCTGCAGATTTACTGGTGCCACTATTTCCTTTGCTGCTTCCTCTTTAAGGTGGCATTTTAACACATCCATAACTTTTTTAGCCAAACGTGATCTTGGCAGTACTGAGATAAGCCCAATTGAAGAGGAGGAGGAGGAAGAGAAAATGATGGTGGTGAGAGAACTAGAGCCATTGCCGAAGGAGTCAGGTACCACTGCACTGACAGCTTTGCACTGCCAGCATCCTCCTCATCCCGGCATCCCTGCCATCTCACCTCTGTACAACCTTCCCAGCGGCTGTTGCTGCTTCCATGACATGAATACACTGGGACACGGCACCGACTGTCCTTGGAGGAGGATAACGCAATGTCTGGGTCACAGAAATGAACTGCTGTGCTAAGGAGCAGGGAGAGAGTGGAGCTGCCAGTGGTGGAGTGGGTTTTAAGGCTGTTTACAACCTTGTTGTCCAAGAGTTTGTCTTGAAAGTGTAATTCCAATATCTGGAAATCCAGAAATTTAAAAAAATTTTTGTTTTGCCTCCACCTTGTATGTTTTTGACCACATGGATACCTTATTCTCTCTGTGTTTTATTAAGACACAGATGAGATCTTACCTTTTCAGTAGAACAGGAATTCTTAGTAAGGAGTTGCTTGTAATTGCAATTTGTATTTTAACAGCAGATTTTCTATGAGTGACTGTCTGGACCTCATGTTGGCTGGAATAGGATACACAGTATGATCCTGCTGCAGAATGTGATTTTGAGAATGTGAGACCACGTCAAAGATACTATTGTATGTGACAGGGTACCTTTTTAGTGAAACACCCCTAAAAACCAACATCAGGAGAAGTAAATAGCTTATTGTATCCCTAGGTACACACAGGACATTAATTTGGGCTTGCTTTGTCACACAGCTTTGGCTTGAGTATTTCTTTGAGGTCAGACAACTACCTGGCAAATCAGGAATTGAAGGAAAGGAGTAGGCAGTTGATTTTGTGTGGACCTAGTGCTTGTATTTACAACTGTCATCCTCTGAAAAGACGATTTTTGGCAGCATGCTGTTCATTTCTGCACTGTCACTGGCCTGGAGGTGCTGGGTATCTTCCCACTGTGCTGCCTTGAGGATACCCAGCTCAGACAGGTGGCCCCAGCCTGCCTTGAAACCCACCGGGAAGTTGCTGAGAAGTTTTCTAGAGCAATGCGTGATTATTTTTTGGGGGTGGGAGGGAAAAGCCTGTGTTTCTCTTCCAGAAGCCCTCTGTTTCTGCTTGAGGAGATGCCCATGAGTACAGAACTCCTCACCCTGTGTCTTTTCTCCTTGCATTGGAGTGGAGTCCATGCCAGTTATGTGTGAAGGACCCAGAAATCCATGGCACAATGTCAAAAATTCTGCCTTTCTGGTGTGGCTTCTCTGCAGAGTGCTTTTTGTAAACCATCTGGTGTGGGGTTTTATTTGATTTTATTTTAAACCATAAGGAAAATAATCTCAACTCTCCCGTACTAAATGCACAGCTGCTTTGCTAAACATCTTTATTTCTTTGCCCTTTTCTTTCATCCTCCTCCTCCTCTTCCTCCTTCTCCCTTTTCTTTTTACATGACAGCACTGTAATTTGGAAAGACTTTGCCTAGTCCTTTGAAAAGTTACCTTCTCTGAACCTTGTCCTTGTCTCCCCCATGCTCAGCAGTGGCTGTGATAACCCCAGAGCGGAGTCCCCGGCCCACCTCAGCTCCGGCCATCGCTCAGAGCCACCCTGCAGAGCCAGCCCCAGCTAAGCCTGATCTCAAGGATGTGGCCACATCTAAAGTAGGGAAGGAAACAGCAAAATGTGATGTGAGACGTGAAGAATTTCCTCCAGAGAAACCCAAGGAGCCAGTGGATGCCTCAAGGGTAAGTCAGAGTGGAGTCTGCTGGGAAGAGCCAGGCTAGAGCATCGCTCAAGAAGTCACCCCAAAGCAGCAGCTCTGTCCTGGGAGATGGGGGTTTTATCCCTTTCCCCAGAGTCGGGTGGGAGCAGGCACAGGAGTCTGGGTGCCAGGGAAATCCCAGCTGTAACATTTCAGTTGGAAGAAGGAGCTCCAGGGCAGCTGGGTTTTGGTGGCTGTAGTCAAAGCAAGTGCAGCCTGCTGATCGATGTTAAAAACACTGGCAAGAGCTGCACAGGATCATGGAAGGAGAGTACAGAGCTCACCCCTGGCCAGGCTGTGCCCCCTGATTCCTGGAATAACAGCAGGAGGGAACTCCAGTGAAATCAGTGATAATGGATCTGGTCTGCAGCCCAGCACAGGAATGTTTTTTGCCTTGATAGGCTTTTGCAGGGAGAGCTGGTAATACAGTGCTGCAAACTGGACTAAAACTTTAGTTGCAAATGGCACTGGTGAGACCTTGGGGAGTTTATTGTTCAAATTCAGTATTTTTAACCATTATTTGATCTTTCTACAAATGTCTGAGTTTTTTGCTGGGGTTGATACGTGTGTGCTCTTTTAATAAGTCAAAATAATGTGCAAAAGTATTGTTGATATTACAATGTCCTTAATATTCAGCAGGTCTTACTGACTTACTGAAACCTTGCTGTGGTGCAGCAGATGTTTGCCTTGAGACACAATTTTCACATTACTACAAAATTTAGCTGTTCTCAGCATTGCTGGAGCCACATAATTCTAAGCATATCATGCAGTGGGTCTTGTGTGAGCATCTCCAGGGAAGATTCCTATTAATTAAGGTTTGGAGAGGGAGGTGGAGAAAGGGCAGTTGCTTTAAAAAATTTCATAGCCTGCATAATTTTTAAATGAAACTGCTGAAGAGAACTTCAGGCTGGCACTGTGGGGTGGGAATCAGAGCACAGAGATCCTGCCCTGCTGTTCCTGCCCCGCTGCTGCTCCCCCTCCCTCACGTTACACTGAGAACGAGGAAATCTTGCTTATCCCATCTTACTTACTACAGGTCTTTTCCTAAATGCTTAAACACTGGATTTTTTTTCCCCTTTAAATATAGATGTGGGAGGAAAATGTGGATTTGAAAGTACCAAATTTACTGTTTCTCCAACGGAGCTGCAGCACTTCTTTTAACACCCACTGATGCTTTTGCCTTCAGAGTACTTGGCAATCCAGTTTCCCTAAAACATTTCCCTTACAGTGTTAAAACAATCTTGGCTCTCTACTTATGGACAGGAAAGAAACTAATTTGTGATGTTAGGCTTGGTTTTGTAGCTGTACCTCTTCTTACTGCCTCTGCCAACATAATACCTGTGATATAACCAATCATTTCTTGTTTTGGGAAGGTCTGTGTTAATTTGAGCATGTTGCTTTGTTTGGATTTTCACTGGGAGATCCAGCTGCAAATGCCATTTGAAAACATTGCCTGACCAAGCTAATGCCAATGGGAAGCCCTTCTTCAGAAGCACTGGAGAGCACTGGTCTCAAATAGAAATAATTCTCAAGCTGGAAGAATTATTTACCATGCTGTTGACTAACAGAGTGCTGGGGAGCTGCCGTGTCATTAACCCTGCCCAAGGCTGCATGTTGGTTTTTTGCATGTTCCCCCAGCACTTCAAAACCAACTTTATGCAGCTGTGTTTGGAAACTAAATGGTTTCTTGAAACAAATATACTAACAAGAAATGTTTTTACCAATTTATTTCTTAAATGTAGGTGAGGAAAACACACATTGAGGTCACAGTCCCCACCATGAATGGTGCTCAGCCCCAGGTTTGTGCTAATAATTCAGTTTAGGTTGCTCACACTTTTTTTTCCAAGGTTGAACGTAGTTAAATGAACCAACAACTCTTTTTTTTTTTTTTTTTATCACTGCCCAACAGCAGCAGCCTGCAGAAAAAGAGGAAGAGCTGATAAGAATGAGGAAGGTTAGCCATTTTACCCTTTCACCAGCCAAATTTGCCATATCATTCATGCATCTGTAACCTGTTTAAAAAGACAGTGCTCCAGTTTCTTCATGGGCTTTGGGTTGGGGGTGTTGGTTTTTTTTTAAACTATTAAATACTTGATTTGGAAATGAATAGCTTTTTTCCCCATAGACAACCTGATCACTGAAATTATGCATGTTGAATGTTCAAAAGAAACACACTTGCTTTGATTTATGAAATTTCTTCTCTGTAACAAATCCAGTTAGAAACTGAATGTAGCCTGCATTGCAGGAAGTGCAAAAGAAAATTGGGAGAAAGCTTTTTTTGGTATTAAGTAATAGGGAAACATCCAAGATGGAAAAGTGGTTAAGGTGCAGTTGCTGTGCACATTGGGACCTTGTGAAGGTCCCCCAGGCAGTGCAGTCTGGAGCTCAGGGGTGGACCTGCATCTCTCAGGAATGTGGTGTGTGACTGAGTGAGGCTTCCACAGAAAACCAGCAATTGCCAAGGCCCCGGGAGCTGTCTCTTTAAAGGACTCATTGCATCTCCCATTCTCCATGAGCCAGACGCCCATTCCCAGCAGGAATTCCCACCCCATGCTGCACTCCCAACCTTGAGTTAACTTTTTAATTTGCCAATTTATCGATCCCGCAAGACCGATGTTTTAATTTTTTGTGCTTTTTTTTGTTTTGTTTTGTTTCCCCCTTTTCTTTCATTTTCACAGAAGAGATCAAAGAGGCTAGATGGTGAAAACATTTATATCAGGCATAGCAATTTAATGTTGGAGGTTTGTATGAACTTGAAGCTTTTTTTGAGTTGCATTTGCTAAACCTTGTGCATCTGCGCTGAACTTATTCTGCTCCTGCCTTTGTTTTTGCATGCTCTTGCATGAAAGACCTTTTGATTTGATTTGATCTTTTAATTATGCTTCTGCATGGTGACAGTAAACATGATGATGTGCAGGCCTTCTTCCTTCCTCTTCTGACTTCCATTCTCTCATACCTCCCCAAAATACATGATTGGCAGTGCTCAGATCTGCTCTGGGATCTGCTGGCTTCTCAGGGGGTCATGGATTGTAATGGGGGGCTCATTGACCAGTTCTTCACTGCTTGAAACAAATTATTTTCCTGGGGGAAAGCCAGTCTGTGAAAATTCAGGATAAGCTGCTGGTGAAACTGGGGCAGATTGCCCAGAGCAGCTGTAGCTGCCCCATCCCTGGAAGGCCCAAGGTCAGGTTGGACAGGGTTTGAAGCAACCTGGGATAGTGGAAAGTGTCTCTGCCCAGGGCAAGGGGAGAATGGGATGGGCTTTAAGTTCCCTTCCAAGCTAAACCATTCCAGGATTCTGTGAAATTGTCGCCTCTGTGGTGTCCAGGCCACCACAATATCCAGTGTTGCTTCAGGCAGGAGTGATCCTTTTGGATTCTGAAGTGGTGTTTGCAGCTTCTCCATCCTCCTCCCAGCCCTTCCTGGCCTTGCAGCACCTCACCAGCCCTGGGCCCCATCCTGCCTCAGTGCCAGGTCCCTCTGGGTCCGATAGAGAGGCTCAGTGGTCATGGGTCTCTTCCTTCAACATTACAGCTCTTCCCTTTGGATTTGGGAGCCCTTTTCACTTGGCTTCACCTAAGCTCAGTCTCAGAACAGACCATGCCAATCATGTATTTTATTTTCTTTAATACACTCTGTTATGGGAGATGTTTTGTGGCTTCTGATACTCTGGTCCTGTGTTACATGTTTCTACTCAAACTTGCAGCACCAGCAGCTCGTAGGGTTTCCTTGCTGTTATCTATTGAAAGTGGAGTATGCTAACTGTCTTCTCCTCATCAGAATGTTCAAAGTTTTGCAGCTTCTGTGTGGGTTTCTTTGGGGTTTATTTATTTCATTTTTTTTGACTGCTTAGAGTCACAAGTGAAGGGTCTGCACACGATAGGCAAAGCTCGGCCGGCTCCGGAGCGCTCTGAAGACTGCAGCTGTCGCTTTTTCACCCAACTCCAATAGCTCCAATACCCAACCCCAAACAGAGCTTTGTCATTGCTTCTAACCTCCTTTTTCCCAATGTGCAATGCTTGCCTCCAAGCCCTTCCCCTCCCCACAGTTCTGTTGCAGGTGCTCCAGCCCTCCCCTACCACAGGGCTGACCCATCAGCTCACCTCCTTTATTCCCTTTATTTTTTTAATCCATGCACTTGGCAGATCAGATATTTTCCTGTCAGACCTCACCCTCCCAAAGCTGCCTGTTGATTTTACTGAAAGCCTTTTAACACTTCAAGTGTGCTGGGTTCCTGTAGAAAGGGCAAAACAGGAGGAAAAGGGTGATGCTGAGCAAACTGGTTCCTCAAGGAGCTTCCCAGATCTGGCTTCATGTAGCTCCTTGTGGCTTTGGCTCCTCTGCCAGCCCTCCCAGGCCTTGCTGTGGTGCAATGCTGGAAAGCCAAGCTGGTCCTTCTCTCTCCTCTGAGCCAGGAGCAGCTGTAGGGTTCTTGGACCAGGCAGGCATTGACCCCAGAATCCAAAGCAGATTCATTTCTTCTTTTTTTTCCCTACCTAACAGGCACTTGCCTTATACTTCCATTTAGGATAGAAGCCAAAATTTGTTATTTTCCCCCCAGAACTGTGCCAAAAAGAGTAAATATTGTTAAAGAGGCATTTGGGGTTTAGCCCTGTGGAGGGAGGGTGGCCTGTCCTGGGTGAGCTGCAGGAATGGAGATTTTTGGGAGGACCCTCCTTTAGGGATGCGTTTGCTGTCCCATCTTTTAAAATCAATGGGCTGAGTAACAACTAAAAGCACAAAAATAGTGAAATTTCCTGTTGATGCCTTTGCTGACCTTGATTTCCCCCTTTCTTGCTGCTTTTTGGCCCTGTTCTGAAAAGTAGTTGTTTGGCTTTTGCAAAAGCTTTCTTTTCTACAGCCTCTGGTTTGCTTGCAAGGAAGAACTATTTTTAACAAGCTGATTTGCCTTGAAGTCTGTGTGTTTATGCTGTAAACTGGCATCACAGAGTAAAAATCTGACTTTTTCCAGATGAAAAAATTTAGCAGGACTTTCTTGATTGATCCAGCATAAAATAAATTTTCAGTTTGATTTAAAAAAAAAAAAAATCTCATCTTTGTTTCTGAAGTCTAAAACCTCCTATGATAGCTCCTGGCGGGGTGAGATGAGAGGGAGGGAGAAAAATGGTAATGGAGGTACTCTGGAAGCAAAGATAATTTCTGTTAGGATAAAAGAGAAACAGGTATGAAGAGAGAGAATAAAATTGGGAAAACATTTTCTTTATCATCAGTTGTATTAATACCTGGAAAGACTCAGGCTAGCAGAGGGAAAAGAAAGCAAACCCACAAAATTTAAAGATGTTAAATTAAATAACCCAAAGAAACATAGTCTGGCAACTTTAAAAAATCCACTTTGGGGAAAATGCAGGATATTCCAGCTCAGCTGTCACGTGGTTTGGCACGTTGCTCGAGATGATCCAGTGGCATGTCCTGCTGCTGGAGGACCATTCCAGGGTTGCAGTTTATCCCAGTTAATCAAAGAGGAGGAGAGAGGATGCTCCGTTGTGTGTTTGCAGTGTGAGCACAGCTGGGGGAGTTGTCAGCAGCTCTGCTGTGAGTCTAGCTTTGCTAAGCACAGCTTAGGCAGTCCCAGGTCTCTCTGTATCCCTTCACTCACCCTGTCCTTTTGCTGATAGGATCTAGATAAGACCCAGGAAGAAATAAAGAAGCACCATGCCAACATCAGTGAGTTGAAGAAGAACTTCATGGAGTCCATCCCAGATCCCAGGCCGAGTGAGTGGGACAAACGTTTGTCCACCCACTCCCCTTTCCGAAGCCTCAACGTCAACGGGCAGATTCCCACGGGAGCAGATGGAGTGAGTACCTCGGTATGGGGTGTTCCAAGGGGCAGCACTGCAGTGTTCAGCTTCCCTTAGCTTCTGATTATTTTTGCTTTTAATAGTTAGTATTGACTTGGAGCATGTAGAATGTTCTCTGAGAGAATTGAGGCTTTAGTCATGGTATCATAAAAATGTGGGGTTTTTTGGAAGAGAAGGATGTAAGAATTCCTTTACTGGTGTTGATGCTGCTTTCCCTAGTGCTGCTGCCAGTGTGATGCTAGAAAGCACTTCCCATGGCTGGTTTGGGGACTGACTCATTCCTGGATCTCCCCAAAATGTGGAAAAAAACCCTGACAAACCCAAAATCCAAAGACCTAAATTATTATTTCAGAGAGAACATTGAAGATAACCCAGTGGAAAAGCACTGGGATGGGATGATTCTTCCAAAATCACTTTATTCTCCAGTTAAACTTGTATGTCATTGGTTCAGACTTGCATTAGGAGCTCCAGGTGCTGATGTGCTGTGGAGGCTTAGAGGAGATTCCTTGGGTGGCCGCAGCAGGGCTCCTCAAACACAGTGGGAATCTCTGTCCTTCCAGGAACTGCGTGTAACCACATACACTCACAGTTTCTCTGATATTTTTCTTAAAAGGGAATTTTTTTAAGGAAAAAACGGTCACCAACTGGTTTCTTCTTGACTAACAGACACCTCTGTGTCATACTGGTTCAGATTTGGAGCCTGTGAGTAAAACTGTAGTTGGTGCCTGTGGTAATCAGTCTTTTAAGTAGTAAATGCAGTTCTTTATTGCAACAGAAAAATTGCATCCTGACTGCAAGTAGCGCAATTGAAGCCACTCCTGGTTGAAAGCCCAGTTCTTCCCCTTCCTTCCCTCAGCCCTGCAGATGAACAAGTATTTCATGTTCAGACAATGCAGATACTTATTAGTCAGGAAATAATCTTGCAGTGGATGGAAGGTTATTGTAACATGTACAAGGGGTTTAACACCAGGTTTGCTACAGGCTGCTTAAAGCTTGGAGTAAAGGCAGGACAGCTGAATGGCTTTTTTGCCTGCTAGAAAAATGAGATCCTCAAAATAAACTTAATCAGGATTGGTTGTTACAGAATCTCAGAATAGTTGGGTTGGGAGGGACCTTAAAGCCCATCCAGTGCCCCCCCTGCCATGGGCAGGGGCACCTTCCACTGCCCCAGGTTCCTCCAAGCCCAATGTAGCCTGGCCTTGGACACTTCCAGGGATCCAGGGGCAGCCAGAGCTTTTGTGAGCACCCTGTCATTGGGATTATCCTGTTAACACAGGGATAGACTTTGCCCTCTGTGGCTGAGCCTCAGTGTAGATTCCCCAGGAATGTGAGCAGTGGAGCTCTGCTCACAGTGCCCAGAGGGCTTGGGGGTGTGGGTGGGACAGAGCAGAGGCTCTCAAGCTCCACAACTGCACTTCAGTAATGTTATTCTTGGTTTTTATAACTAATTTCTTGCAAGGTGAACACACTGAGATCTTGGAGGCTGCTGGTCACCATAACTGGATGGTGTGGGCTTGTCCCACCTAAGACAGCAGTGGGTCTGCAGCACTGCAGAATTGGTGTCAGCCCTAGATTTGCATTTCTGGAAGTTCCTTCTTAATCTGGTCCTCTTTGAAGTGATCTCACTCTGAGGTAGCCATGTCCTGCTGTGAACTTCCAGAAATGCATCTTCCCCAGACAGTGACCAGGGAGGTTTTCCCTCACCTGCACATGTTGAAGGATCATAAATCATACGGTAATTAAGGGTGGTAAATCATGGTGCAAAGCCATTGCTCCTGTTCATGATGGTGTCTTCACCCTGCCTTAGTGGCCAAAGGGTTTTTTACCAGGGGCCACTTTTTTGCTATTCCTGTATGTTTTATTATGAGACAGCTGAACCTTAACACGCTTTGTGTGTCCAGGTCAAGAAAGTCACTGTCCCATCTTCTGAGAGACAGGTTGGTGGGCTTGAGGTAAAGCTTCTGCTCTGATCTGTGCTTCTGAACCAGACTTGCTATTGCAATGGCACCAAGCAAAATCTCAACAGCAGCTGCTGGATAACATTTTTCTTTTGGCTACATGAAGTAGTTTCATAACTCACACCCAGAGGACTTTGGCACTGCTGCAGCTTTTGCAGCTTTCAATTTTTGCTTATTTTGGTGCATGGCTGGTTCGAAAAAGCTGCATGACCGATATAACCGTGTATTTGGAGACAAAAGCAATTCTGAAAATTTAACTCTTCCCTGTTCTTTTTATGTTGTCTTTCTTTCTGTTTTTTTTTGTTGTTTTAACGATCATGTTACTCTTGCATTTTATATTTTCTTTTGCTGCCCAGTCTCCCAGCTACTTTCTCCCGAATTCTCACCACTTAGGGGTGTGCAAAGAACCAGTCCCAAAATACCACACTGACCAGCGGAGGTTGGCTCAGCTGAGGGAGCTTAGAGCCAAGTTTTTCCTCTCCTAAATACACTTGGGTTTGGCCAGGGCTGGTAAACTAAAGGGATGCAGAATTATTGAACAGTAACATTCCCACAATCCTTCCTTTCTTCAGCAGAAGTGCTGAAGGCCTTGCATGGTCCCATGTGCTGATTTACTCATTCTGGGTTTTTATCATTTTTAGAATCCAGAAACAAAAATGCTGAAACACAGAGCAAAATTCCAGGAGTTTGCACTGCTCCTACTGCCACCCTGCCTGTTCCATGCGTGGGATTTCTAAGATTTACAGTTTTTCACTTGTTCAGTAGAATTTTCAAACCAATTGAAATTTTGATACTCTGGTCAGAACTTTGGAAAAGCCTTTTGTATCTGCTCTGCAGTCTGGCTGTTCCATGGGATTTTCCAAACGCTGGGTTTTAAGGCCACTGTAGATTAGGAAGCTGTCAGAGACCGCATTTTGTACTGCACTGTTCCTCTTTCAAATTCCTCAAACTTTTTTCTCACCATTCCAATTCTAAAACGCTCTGGAAGATTTTGGGCATCCACTTTTTGGGAGGCACCAGATGCCCATGATCCTGATGCAGCTGTTGGTGAGCTCTGCAGAGAGAGCTGTAGCTCCAGGGCTGGTGTGGCCCAGGCCACCAGCAGCTCTGCTCCCCAGGACAGTTTATTTTATGTTGAGAAGAGCTGCCCTAACGCTTTGCACATCTCCAAGTGTCATTTTGGGCACTTTCCATCTGTCATTTTTGTTCATCTCTCTCTGTCTTTCTTGATCTTCTACCATGAAAGCAGACACGGGAACGGCCTCTGTTAGTACAGGATGAAGACAAACTAAAAAAGCAGGAGATACCTACTGAGACAGCCTTTCCCCGGCCAGCAAGTGAAGCAACTCTTCCAAAGGTTTCTATTGCAATCCCTGAAGAGCAGAAATCACTCAAAAAGTGTCAGCTGTACTCTAGCATTTTTCCTTCTCCACGTATTCCCTTTATGATGTCCTTTCTCCTGGTCATAGCACTGACTGTTTGGTGGCTGCTCTTTCTCTGAGTGGCAACAGGGTAATGTTGAAACCTCAAGACCAAAGCTCCTGAATTTCTTGGCTGTAGTCTCTGCTGCATCTTCCTTGTCCCGGTCTTTGATCTCCGTAGTTCACTGTCCCAGGGAGGGGCACCCGTGACTGTCTTAATGTTGATCCTGCTCTGTGTCCTTGTGTGGCTGCGATGGGACCTGGCAAGGGTGGTCGTGGATTGCCAGGTCCATTCTGAAGTTTCCTATGGCTCAAAAGCAAATTCTTTGAACTGTGTTCCCAACTGCTGTGGGAGGGCAGATGTGGGGAGGAAATCATGGGAGAAGAGTCTGGTTTCCCAAGCCCCTGAAGACTTCCCATAGGAGTTGCTGGAGAATTACTTTTAAGCTTGTTTGGAATGCAAGGTATTCACAAGCTGAATAATATTTGGCACTGATCTAAAAGGGGCTTTACAGGAGTCTGCTGAATCATGGAATACTGGAATGGTTTGAGGTTGGAAGGGCCCATAAAGATTGTCTCGTTTCACCCCCTGCTATGGGCAGGGAACCTTCCCCTGGACCAGATTGTTCCAAGTCCTGTCCAACCTGGCTTTGAACAATTCCAGGCATGGCAAGTCCACAGCTTCTGTGGGCAACAAGAGGTTGAGTCTCTAGGAAGAATATTGGAATCTAATTCATAACCACTCAATTTCTAGGAAACTCAGATTGGCATTTAAGTAAAAATGCTGGTTCTCACTGCTGCTCTTGGTAATAACTTAGGGACAGGGTCAGCTTCTCATTTCCTAGTGGGAGAAGCCTTTGACAAAGTATCCCAGCTTCCCTCTCCACCCCTATTCTCACATCCAAGAAAATACAGTGTTATAGGAGAAAATCCATTGCAAGGAGATATTTATTGTAAACATAGATTAATAATTAATAATCTGATGGTCTTGGTGCACTTGGGATGTGTTTTATTTAATTTGTGTGGAACTAACTGGTGTATGGTTGCTCCGGTCACAGGGATGGAGTCATCTGCTGTTTGAGCATTCCCCCTGTTGGAATGTTGGCTTGGCCACATCAGGACACACTTCTAATGTTAAAGCCCTCGATTGCTTTTGACTTCTTTAACCAAACCATTGCATGCTGGTCGTTGTTTATTGCCTACGGTGTAAGTGTCTGGATGATGTTCACATTTATTCAAGTTATCCTGGCTGGGCTGTGCAGGCTCCAGCCCAGCTGGACTGAGCAGAGCTGGTTTGTGAGCTGGAGAGAAGGTATGACTTTGTGTCTAAGGGGTTTCTTTTCTGTAAATAGTAATGACAGGGCTGAGCTGAGCCCCCCATTTCTCCTTTCAGCACTAATCCATGTTCTCCTGTGTCCACTGGAGGACTGGACTGGACACAGTCACTCTGAGGGCACCCCCCCAGTGTCACCAGTGGTGGCAGCTCCTCCAGCAGCATGGAAGAGAAAGGAGCAGGCCTTTATTACATGGACTAAAATGTGTGAATATATATAAATACCTGTATTTATCACCCTTTCTAGATCTGTATCTGTGTGAACAGTGTTATTTAGGAAGCTAGCAGATAAGCTTGAAGGAATAAGGCAAACATGTCATGTGCTGTCTGGTCTGAGGGTCTGTGGGGTATCATGGACCACTTGAGTCACCTCTTGCTCTTGATGTACAGGCTGAGGTTCTAAATGCTGTCTCAGAAACTTAGGTTGCTAGTAAAACTTTGTTTTAATCCTACAGGAATCTTTCCAATTCCTCTTGTAACTTGCTCCAATTAGTTCACCAGTTTGTGCCTTTAGGACTTAGTTTTGTGAGGATGCTGATTTTTCATTGGAAAATATTCTTCCCTTTTTAATACACTGCCTTTAGTACACAGTCTTCCTCCTTTGGCCCTAGGAAATTGAGTGTTGTTGTCCAGGTGTAGTCTGGAGTGAAGGAGGGCTGTATCCCTGAATCCTTGGAATGCACTTGGACTCCAGTGGATTTGGTGTGGAGTTGAGGCAGACAGAGGTGGGTCCTGGAGAGGAGAGATGGGGGAGGATGCTGGGGTGCCATGTGCTGTGCAGAAAATACAGGATGGAAGAAGCCAGGGGATACTTGTGGCTGGCATTCCCTGCCTGCATCTCCTTCCCAAACTGGTAACAGTTGTGATGAAGAGCAGGGTTTGTTTCTTTCCCCAACTTGGCATGGAGAGGGAAGAAAGAGGAGCTGTTTGGATCTCTCTGTCCATTTTCTGTCTGTATTTCCTGGAGGTTGAACACACAGGTTGAACTTCCTTCCCAAAGGCATTGCTCGGGATGCTGTGGTGAGCACTGCTGAATTTCATGTATTTCTGATCCATTGATGAGAACTTGGAAGCCACACTGGTGGCTTTGGCAAAGCCGTGGTTTCTGTAGCTCTGTCAGCCATTTCCAAAGGACCTGAAGTCTAAAACCTGCCCAGAGCAACCTTAGACTGGAGTGCTCAGGATGTCTCATCCCAGCAGGGTAAGAGATGGGCTTTATCGCCTCTACTCAATTCTGTAACTCTTCAAATTGTCTTTTTCTCTCTTTTTTAATCTTGAGATAAGGTTGGTTGTCATCAGCAAAAAACCTTGGAAACTTTACACTCTTGAGAACACTCAGGAACGTTTTTGGGATTTATATACTGATTATCACTGCAGATATAAAGAAATTGAGCAAACGCTTTCTATTTCTCTGGCATTTTAGAGGTCAGTTATCCATATTCATCCAGGTAGATATGATCTCTCCTGACAGAGGAAACCTGTAACTTACCAGGAACAGAAACCTAATCTATTGAATGCCCCAGGGATGTGCCTGCTGGGCACCAGCCCCTTTCCTAGGCACTTCTCTGCTTTTTTCTGTTTGCTCGTGATGCAAAGGGAGTGATAATCCTTGACAGTCCATGTAAGGTCTCATTCCTGCACATTCTGTATCCTGTTTGTGCACATTTTTAAAAGCTTCTATGACAGCTTGGTGCTGTGGTTTTCCCCCTTTCCTGTGATGTCAGTACAGGTTTCAGCACCGAGAGGAGGATTTGGTGATTCCTGCTGTCATCTATGTGCACAGGGAGAGCTGATTGGGCTGAGATCTCAGGGGATCTAAAAAGGAACCAATGTACTTCGCTCCTGTTTTCCTCAGGAACAAACTTGCTGGGAATTCCAGCAGCTCCTGGGTGCCTGCCCTGACACCAGCACCCACTGACACAGGGGTTCACATGCCCTGTTCAGCCTGGCTGGTGTAGTGCCAGGCTGTGAGTGATGGAGAGCCGAGTTATCCCTCCTGCAGGGAAGCTGGAAATGTCTGCAGCATGTAACCTCATCCAGGTTGGCATGAGAAATCCTGGTTTTTCAGTGTGACCTGCTGCAGAAAGTGGCATTCTGGTGACTGGCATGCTGGTGACATAGGCAGGATGAGTCTGCCAGCAGTTTTGCCCAGTGTTTTGTGGTATGGTCACTCAGTTCTTGGATGCTCATGTGTAGGATCCCACTGGGAGTTGTTGAGGGTTCAGTGTTCCCCATCACAACATGGACAGTTGGCTCCACACTCACTTCCTGAATCTCCTTATCCAGATTCCAGCTCCTCTGAACACCACCTAAAACACACAGGAGTTTCTTGTGCTTTCTTGCTTTAGGAAAAGGTGAACACAAGTGTTTTCAAGCAGCAGATGTGCCAGAGCCAGTAGCTTGGAACTGGGGTTCAGCTCTGAGGCTGCACTGGGTGTGATGATACTTGAGGTCTTCATTGCTGTAAAACTACATCCCTTTTCTTTATTGGCTGCTAAAAGGGAGCAGATAAAGGGGGGGGTGTTGGCTGCATCTCCTCCCACCTCGTGCCTCACTCGGGGAGTGATGCAAGGTGAGCTGAGGACTCTGCATAGGCAGCTCAGGGCAGAGTTCAGCCAGGACTGGCTCCCCTCTCTGGTGGTTTGTCTGGTAGCTAGTGCTGACCCTAAAGAGTAGGTATTCCATATCTCCCTCCTATCCTGAAATAATCAGGAGATGTGGATTTCCTCAGCACCAAGGGAAGTAATTCGTGTTTGGAGGAATGATGCTTGGCTTCACCAGCTCCTGGGAAGGTTATCATAGAATCAGGAAATATCCCGAGTTGGAAGGGACCCACAGGGATCATCAAGTCCAGATCCTAATGGTTATGGGCAAAGTCCTTCACATCAATGTCAGTAATTTGTCACTCTGAGAATTGTTTCACTGGTTTATTGGGTTTTCTTTTTACCTTGTTGATGGTGCTTGTTCTGACCTGCAGGATGAGGCAGGAAGCTTTCTGGATAAATCCCGCCCAAAAAGGGGTAATGGATTCATGCAGAAACTCCTTGGTCTGTATTTATTAGTGGATGACACTGGAGAACTTGACAGAGATGGTTCCTCTTATATCTCTGTTTGCATCTGTTGTTTTGGTTTGTGGGGCTGGAGGTTTGGGCCCCTTTGGGATCTTTTAGCAATGGTACTCAGTCCTGTTGGATCAGTCTGTGGGGACTAGAAACACTTTCTTTTTTACCTAAAATACTCTCTTTTGGAACACTTTTTTGGTTTTGTATTTTTTCTCAGATTTTTCTTTGTAAATATGTACATTTATCCATTAATAAATGTTATTGCAAATCAGATCTTTCTTTCCACTGCTTATTAACCAAAAAAGCTATATATGACCTGTGTTAATGACTTCCTTGGACTAACCCTCATTTTTCCTTTCTCAAAGCAGGAGTCATCAGTCCCTGAGTCCCTGTTGTTGGCATTCGGGGCGTGGGGTCTGCTGGACACTCCTGGGTGTGGGTTGGGTGCTCCTGGGGAGAGGGAGTACACAAGGCTGCAGCTCTAAGCTCTCAAATTGACCAGAATAATTCAATTTAGGATTAAATCCAGTTTGGTTTAAAACAGGCTTTGTTTGCAGGAATGCTGTACCAAATGCTTAATGTCACTCTTAACACCTTTTCCCTCTTCACTTTGGAGGAGGAAGGAAAAAATCAATAGCAGAAAGTTGTTCTGAGAGCAGAATGAGGCAGGTCCTCCACATCTCAGCTACAAGAACCTCTGTCCCACCTAGTGTGGTAATCTGGGGACAAAAATGCTCCTTTGGGGTTGTAAGTATGGAACATTTGGGTTTTGTAAGTGAAGAAACCACATTCCCAATGAACCACTGTTCCTCAGCTCAGTGATAAACACGAGCTTCTGGTGGTTTTTTTTCTGGTTGAAGCTCAGGCTGGGTTTTGAGGCTGTGTCAAGAGTAAATTTTAAGTCCCAAATTTTGTGAGATTACAGGAAGGCAGATCTGGCTGCTCATAGTGCTGGTTCCCGAGAGGGGCCTGGCACCACGGCAGAGTTTTAACTTCATTTATGGAATGAGGGAGGTGGAATGAGCAGCACAAAACTGATGACACTTACAAACCCTGATTTTATCCCCTCTTTTCTCCTGCTGCTGCTGCACTAAGGCAGCTCTTGCAATTACCACTATTTTGTTCTCTGCAGAGGGGTTTTGGAATGAAAAGCCCTTTATGCGAGAGTACCTGTCCCACAAAAGGAAAAGGAGCTCAGTGTGGGTGGGCAGAGGAATCATATTGCCAACAACCTTCCTTTGATAATTTAAGTCTTGATCCTGAGGTTGTTTCATGTTTCCAAGTCATCGATGCAATGATTGGAGGTGGTTGTTATGTGTTGTGTAATATATTGGATTCTTGTTCATGACAGAATTTAGTTTTTTGAAGGTTTGGGCACAGTGTGTGTTTTCTAGGATTACTTTCAATTTTGGTCAAAATCTCTTTTATCCATCTGTCGTCTGAGTAGGCTGGTCAAGATGTTGTGATCAGATCAATGGCAGTGAAAAATTCCATTGAAAACCAGAAATCCATAGGTAATGTCCATCCTTATCAATGCCAGAGTGTTTTGAACAGCTTCTAAATGTTTTTAATTTTTACCTTAAGGCAAAGCAGTTCTGTAAGGCAGTGGTGGGTACTGTAAAATAAGGATCTCTTGTTCTCTGCTTTATAATACTTTTTACCCAAGTGCTTTGCCAGCTGTGAGATTGAGCATCAGTTGATCTGGGAGCGCTCTCTGGTGAGTGTGGTTTGCTGCAAAGCAGCATCATCTCCTTGTGCATCCCTGGACAGTCACTCCAAGCCTGTGAGCTTGTGTAGATCCTTGTTTGGGGATAACCTAATAACAGTGTCAACAATTCCATGGCCATGCTGGAAGAGAACAGGACTGCGAAGTATTAACCAGCTGGGATTCCTAGCATCTGGTGGCTGTAGGGAGTTACTGTGCACTATAACTTCATGGTTTTAGCAATTTTTATTAAATAGCAACTGGCAGTTGACATCATTTTAGCACTCCTGAAGTTTTCTGCAGGATAGTAGTCTGATTTGGGGTGGGAATAATGGAATATTCTACAGAGAGAGGCAGCAGCATGAAAAAACTCTTCCTCTCTTGACACCACAAGGAGGTGGGTCATACAAATAGATCCTGATCCAAAACAGCAGGGTCATGAAAAAAGGCAGGCAAACCAGTTTATATAAAACTACTTGTTGAGAAAAATAAATCCTTTTGGCCACTGGTATCAAACATGAAATTAAGCCTGTTATTAATTTATCCCCTGTCTGAATTACTGTGTGTCACTTCATTGCAACGCTTCAGCTGTATCTACAGGGGCACAAAGATTCGTATTTCAAGGGTGGTGCTTCAGTTGCATTCATGTCTAGGTCAGTTTGTTTCTTCTGGGATATTGCATCCTGTCCTGTATTTAATTCACTCTGTGCTTGACTGCTTCATGCTAGATTTAGGCCCCACTGGACTGGGGCTGTGTCCCTGGAAATGAGTAGTTGGCAATCCAGGCACCTCTCAGGTTTCCTGGGTCTCAAGGTGAGCTTGGAACTCTGCAAATCTGAGCCCTAAACATAGGGATGCTTTGGCATTTGCAATTTAAAACAAATCTTGATAAGATCAAAATTTGTAACAGATGCTGAAATTCCTAGGGGGGCGTTTTACATAGATAACTTTATCTAGAAACAAATACCTTCCCATTAGTTTATCTTCTTACAGTGGAATAGGGAGGCAAGGCAAAACAGCTTCTGATCAGTTGATCTTATCAGGATTTCATTCTTTCCAGCTTGCATGTTTGCTGCTGCACTTGGCTCTGCTGGTGACCAGAATTCGCATGGCACAGGCTCCATTCCAGCTCTCCCTTCCTTTCTGCATCTGTCAATACAGGATGCTTCCAAAATGCAAATTATTTTATCTGTCTGTGAAAGGGAACTGGGAGGGTGTTTTGACTGTATACAGATTTTTGCCACTTAAATACATCACTGTTTGTGTAGCTGCTTAATCTTCTTTGTTTTATCTGTGATTCTTTTCTTGGCTGAGTAGTGCCCTTACATAAGGAAATCTCCCTCCTAAGGCGTGTTCCATTAAACCCCAGAAGATGAGCTGTGTCTTCTCAAGGTCCCATGAATAACTTGCAAGGTTTAGCGTCTATAATTCAGGGAAGGTCAGGGTATTGGCAGTATATAAATGCAAGTTTTAAACCATGGCTGTATACAGTTGATGTGGAATATTGCAATGTAGAGTCTTGTGTTAGGAAATGAGGGTGGGATCTGGATTGATATCATAGAATATCCTGAGCTGGAAGGGACTCACAGGATCTTCCAGCCCATCCCTGTCCCTGCCCATACCCCAGCACCCCCAGCCTGGGCATCCCTGCAGCTCTGGCAGCCTCGGGGCTGTGCCCATTCCTTGGGGAGCCTGGGCAGTGCCAGCACCTCTGGGGGATGAACCTTGCCCTAAATCCAGCCTGAGCCTGCCCTGCCCAGCTCCAGCCGATCCCTGGGTCTGTCCCTGTCCCAGAGCAGAGATCAGAGCTGCCCCTTGGGAGGAAGCTGCAAACTGCCTTGAGTTCTCCCTTTAAATATTCCTGTGGACAACCTTGTGGAAGTAGGTTTGGATCAGAAGTAACCTTTCCCTGTGAGCACAGTCTGACCTGCCCATCTCAGTGCTGCTTGCTTTCCCTCCACTCCTATTAAATGCATTTTGTTAAGTAATATCTCAACAACTTAAGAGAAGCTCAGGAGGTTGGAAATTCTAATAAATAGAAATCTTACAGCTAACCTGTCTGCAATATAAAGAAGCAGAGAACTGAAAAACATCACGAGAAATTGGGGAAGAGTAATTTCTTGAAGTTATGCTAAGAAAAGCATCCATTTGTTCCTATATAAAGTGACTTATTCTCTTACCCTGCCATTGAGCTGTGCCATGAGAGGAGGTCAGTCAAAATGAAAGCCTCTGGGGTATAAAAAATGAATCGTACCAAATAACCCCCAGGCTTCAGGCCTCACGTTTCAAGCACAAATTACAGCTTCTTGGTTGCCCACAGGATCTTGTTAGAAAGTGAGGCAACAGTTTCAAGGAGTTAAAAGCAGAATCAGAGGATGATGTTGGAGTAGTGGGTGGGTTTTGTTGCCCATGGAGGTTTTGGATGTGCACAGCTCTCCACTTGATAGATTGAAATTTCTCCAAGCTGAGCAAAAAACACTTAGTGGTGGCTCTTCCTCTAGGTGCAGAATTAATTTTCATATCAATTCCTTAAAATTTAGAATGGATTATTAATACCAGGAAGGCTGTGCCAGTAAATGCTCTGAGTACAGCACAGAGGTTTTCCAGTGTCCAGCCCCACTCTTACATGTGTTACTGAAGATGTGATTGATGCTAAGAACCTGATGTTTTCCTTGATGCCTTCTGACCTCCTGCTCTCCTTAACTCCCTGCTTTCTCTCTCTCTCTCTCCCTCCCTGGCCTTTTTTGTGTATCCATTTCTTTTTAGAACATGAGTGACTTTGTCTCCCAAGAGGATGTGGCTGCAGTGGCAGAGTGGAGCAGTTTTAACACTGGCTTTGCGTGGGAGGGCTCAAAGCAGTCGGTAGTTTTTAGTGAGACTCCAGTGCCAAAGCCTTCTCCCAGCTGGCACTTTGGTGCTTCCTCCCTAAGCAGCAAGGAGGAGGAGAAGGAGGAGGCAGTTCCCAGCCACTCCACCAGCGAGGAGGACCTGACATACGGACAGGGGGTTTGTGTGGATGTGGAGAAGGACTCGGAGCTGTCTGAGCCAGAGCCCCCCCCCAGACCTGCTGCACTTCCCCAGCAGCCCTGGGGAGGAGAGGAGGAGGAGGAGGTGGCAGAGGATGGTGAAGACAGTTTTGCCGTTAGAAAGCCACGTGGCGAGTGTCCCAAGCCAGATGCTCCTAACGGGCTGCCGGAGCTCATTCGCTGCTTCCAGGTAGTGAGCCCAGCTCCTGCACCCCACACCCCGGCTACCTCTGGAGTGGGAACCAAACACTGCAGCAAGCAGATGCCACAGACCTGCAGAGCACTTTGCTTGGCTTGGACTCGTGCTTGGAGCTAATGAGCTGGTGAATCTCCCACAGGCAGTGCAATAAGCCCCTCTCAATTCATCTTTTACTTAAATATGAGCCACTGTCAATTTGTCTTTGCATTAAATACGAGTCCCTCTCAATTTATCTTTGCATGAAATACAATTGCCATAGTGCAATGCCCTTTACTCTTCTTGGATTGAAGCATTCTGTGGCATTCCCACAAAAAGGCAATATGTAGGCTCAAAACCCGTGTGA